AAAATTCACCTCCAAGCGGGCGCTATTTTAGTTATCAGAAGAGTGGATGAGCAATATTGCTTGCCTCTCTTAAAAAAATTTAAAAAAAGAATTTAAGAGCCGTTGGTTCATTTGTGATTTTTTTGATGTGTTTTTTCAGTTAAGTGAATTTTGTTTCGTTTTGATTTGCAGAGATATAGTTGTGAGCTGGAGGAACAAGCGCAGGTATGGGCTGACCAGTGTACATTCTCACATTCACCCAATCAGCTTCGAAACGCCTCCGAAAATCTTTTCTGGGCTTGGGGCAGCGATATCTCAACAGGTTAGGTCGTCCAATGCCATTTCAGTGCAAAATCCTTGCTGAATTTCGATGTCGGTTTTTTAAAAAATTCCAAAAATAGCGAGAAATTGAAGAGGGATGGATGGATGGCTCAATTACGACCTCAAGATTACCTTAAGATCACCCAACAAGCAGTTTACCTTAAGGCATAGGTTTACTAGATTGTTTGTTGTGCTAAGTTAACGCAGTTGATATTTTTTTGCCTTGCAGCAGACTCAGTTCGAAGGGCGATAACGTTTTGGTGGAATGAATTGGCAATGAGCGGTATAAGAGACCCGCAAAATCGCTTAACATGGGATGTTTTTAACGACGGTGTTGGACATTTCACTGCGGTATGTTGTTTTGATCGCCTAAATCACCATTGATCTAACCTGAATAAACTTGGTTATAGCCTGATCCACCTTGGTCACTTTGCAATCACCTGTTGAAGTGATAAACTTCCCATATCTTTTAAGAATCTTCTTTGGTACAACCAAACCTCCCAGTTCGTAACAAACTATTTCACCGTGTGCTTCCTGCTTACTAGTCGGATTATCCGTATAACCATTCAAATTGCTTGAATTCCCTCTACACTACCCGTAAACCTTACCCATCATCTGGGCATCGCCTCTTACCGATGAACCATCTGGTTTGAAAGCTGCGTGGATTCTGTTTTACGTGAATCACCTGCTTATTTTGATGTGTTCAATTAAAAAATTGTGATGTTATGACAAGAGCAATGCAGGCTCTCTAAATTTTCCGAGTAGTTGGCTTGTGAGGTTGATTCGTGATAATGATTCGAGTTCAACTCAGTGTCATTCGTGAATTTTGTTTTTGTATTCACTGTAATTTTTCGTATTTGTTCAAAATTTCTCCAAAAAAATTGCGATGTTATCCCATGTGTCTCACATGATCACCTCAAGCTGCTGCTTTTTGGAAGGAATTTCCGCTCGAATCACGACGAGTAGCTGTGAGTTTCAGATGGCCTGGGGTTCAAGCACTCAAGTTGGCTGTGGTTTCTCGAGGAATTGCCCACCGAGGAATGGATTTGCCCTCGGCTATGTGGTATGCCAATACCGACAGATGTAGGTTTTTTGCGTTGTTCTCTGCTCAACTTAGTGCAGTTAGTTGATAGCACAACAATATTTAGGCAATATTTCGGGGAATTTTTAGAATTTCTAGTGGCACTTGTTTATTTTAGTGGACACGCACGCGAGCACGCTCGCGTATAACAACTGAGGCCA